AATATTTAGTTAATTTTGAAAGTCGAATTTAAATCAAATATCTATTTTATTGATTTATTTAAGAGGTAATCTTCCAACACCAGAACAAATTTTACATCCGAGTGATTTTATTGAATTAAAAAAATGCATTTATGCTTCACAAGTAATTTATATATCGTATAGTTATTTTCTTTTTAATTTTGTTTTTTTTCTTCTTCGTAGCGATCATCATTACCACCGATTTGTACACATAATGTCAATGATGATGTCCATGATCCTATATTAAATGCATTACGTCGTTGTCAATTATTTAATGCACGTTATGATCGAGTTAAAGTTATATTTCATCCGGAATTTTTACGTTCAACAAGTCCACTATTACCACTTGATTATGAAGAATTTGTACGTGGTTGTCATTTGGGTGTATTTCCATCGTATTATGAACCATGGGGTTATACACCAGCTGAATGTACTGTTATGGGTGTACCAAATATTTCAACAAATTTAAGTGGATTTGGATGTTTTATGGAAGAACATGTAAATGAACCACAAACATATGGTATTTATGTTGTTGATAGGCGATATAAAAGTGGTGAAGAATCATGTCACCAACTTGCACAAGTAAATCGATCAATAAAAAAAGAAAAAAAAAAAGAAAATGTTTTTGTGCTTCTTATTTCTATATTATAGTATATGTTTGATTTTTCACAATTAACACGACGACAACGTATTATTTTACGTAATCGTACTGAACGTTTAAGTGAATTATTAGATTGGAATACATTAGGAATTGTAAGTAGACAATTTTTTTTCTCATATTTATCATCTTGTATTTCGATAATAAAAGTTAAATATGAATAGTTCTTGAAATTCTCATATAATTATTATGAATGGAATTTATATTATAGAAATTGAAATAGATTCTCTGTAGTCCTGTACCTTCAGAATATAAGAATTATAAGCAATAGAAAATATTGGTTATTATGTGAGAAAAAAAGATTCATGTTTTTTTTGTTTTCAAAAATATTTTTGATTGTAAGCAGAGTTTCGAATAGACCAAGTTTGTAGCCTGCTTCTATTTAAGGATTACAAGAATTTTTCTAAGGCTTCCGGTTTCAGCAATTTGATCATAGAAGACTATAAAAGAGCTGCATACAGGAGTTATTTGTCATGCTAAGTCGAATACTGATGTTTGTTTTCAGTTTTGAAAGCGATCTGAACTCACTATATGAAGATTTTCCAAACTTTGATTTTTATGCTGTGTAGAGAAAATTTTTGAATTTCAAAAATACTAAAATAGCGGTCTCATGTCATTTTGAGACAAAAAATAAATATCAGTGTTCGACTCAAGGTGATGAATAATCCCTGTCTGGATCTCTTTTGGAGTCTTCCAAGGTCAAATTGTTCAAATCAGGAACCTCAGAAAAACTCTTGTAATTCTAATCATCTGCCTTATGTTTTGGCGCTGATAGTAGTTTATTTCATATGTAGTAAAGTTATTGAACACAATTCATTTTATCTTGATCAGTTTAAATGAATATTTCAGTGATTTCTACTCATAAGAAAAAGAACTGATTAT